AAATAAAATAAAAAGACATCTCTGACAGCACAAGAAACAAGCCCTTCTTCCCAAAAGATAAAAAAACTATTGCTATCGAATTCAGATATGATATAACTCAAAATGAGTCCCTTTAATTCCTGCATGTCTAGCAAAAGCAACTCCAGCCATGCCAATAACTTCACCAGCAACAGGTGCGTGTATTATTACCACCTAAAAAATTAAATGGCAAGAGTGTTTTACTGTAGTATAATATATCTTGAGATTAGGTTTTTTTTCAAGGTAAAAATACTTTTTTATCCTCAAAGTCAACAAAATATAGAACTCTTAATTAATAGCTTTCTTGATTTTGTATAAGTTTCTTAACAGTAAAAATATGTATTTATCTCTTAGTTAAAAAAAATATTGTGCAGCTAAATAAGGGTGTTTTAGGGTTTTTAAATTTTAATATACAATGCAATTATATTTTTAATACTGAAAGAGATAAAATATAATATTTGCATCTAGGGGTATTTTTGTGCTTTCATATGAGTACTTTATGTAATTATCAGGATCAAAGGGGGCATTTTGATATTTTTATATTTTTTTCAAATCTTTTAATGTTTAAAGTTATTGGAGTATACTCAGCAAGCTCAAGCTCTAATATGTAGATGACGTCTACACCATTCAGGAGAGGCGTGTGATGCCATCTAATAGACGTAAGTAGCCTTTCATCATCTTTTTAGATGGGTCGACATGTCCTTTTCCATTTAAAATGACGCATAATTATTTGATTTTCCCCCCCATTTATTTTCTCTCTCTTAATATGTAATGTTTATCATTGTCTTCTTTTCAATTTCGGTCATGAATTTATTAATTTCTTATTCCATTTCTTTTTCTATTTATAGAAGTTTTTATTCTTTTTAATTTAGTCCTTTAATTGTAATTTCTCGTATGTTTTATTTCTCATTTCAGTTAATATTTTTTAAAATTTCTAATTTTGTCCTTGACACTTTTGTTGAAGTTTTTTTTTGTTTTCAATCTCATCTTTTAATCAATTTTTTTGTTGTTTTATTTTTTTTAGTTTAACTCTCATTCTTTAGATTATTTTTTTTGTTTAAAGCTATTTTTCAACTCAATTAAACCCTCCAATTGAAAAAGTTTATCCCTCCAATTAAAGTTTTTTCTCACCCTTAATTTTTTCAATCCTTTTATTTAATTAATTTTTTTCATGATTTCATCTTTCAACATTTAATTTGTTGAGAATTCAGCTTTGTATGATCTAATTATTCTGCATTAGTTATTTTTTTAATATTAGTCTTGTCATTATCTTCAAGTTTTTTCTATAAATTTATCTCGGTCTCATAATCTAAGTCATAATTTTTGCATGATTTTTTTAATATAAGTTTTTTAGTTGTTTTATTTCTATTTCAATTTTCAATGTATTATTCTAATTCATCTATAATTTTTTTTATACAAATAAATTTTATTTTTTAAAATAAAAATATTTTTTAAAATTATATTTCTAATGTGTTCGGCCTTGCGTAATATTTTTATGGCGTTTGTTTATTCGATTAATTTCATTCATGTTTATCTTTTAAGTCATGAGTTTTTTAAGATGTAGATTTATCTTTTATTTATTTAAATAAATAGATTCAATAAACACAATCATATGCATATCTCATTTTATGTTATGAAATATCTTGATCTTACTTGGATAAGCTTTTCAATTAATAGTTTGAATTTTTTTCATGTAAAAAAACAAATTGAAGCAACTTGCATACCATATTAGTTTTTATACTAGATTTGATTCTCATTATTTTGATTATTATTTGTTTTCTTTTTAATTTTTGGATGGTTAAGATTTTTGTTCAATATTTTTTTTATCTTTCATGTAATAATCTCAACCTCATGATCAAAATTGTTAGTTTTGAAATTTAATTTTTAATTTTATTATTTAATATTATATTAGAAAAAAAATCAACCACCCCACACCGTAACATCGGAAAAAAATCTAGTGTGTGTAATTCATTCCCATCTAAATCATTTTTTTTTTTTTTTACAATTGAATGTACCCACACATATTTAGTAATTTCATAACTCTTTCTCGGGTACTAGGATTGACAAAATAAGTAAAAATATTAATTAAAGTGGGACATTAATTAGTTATTTTTCTTGAATCGATGATAAAATTTATGTTTTCACTTTTTTGCCAATAAATCAAGATTTTTGTGGGGGAAAAGCATGATATATGAAATTATAAGCTTCAATTAAGATCTGAATAATCGATTTTATTCGAAAGATATGAACTAATTATGTTTAACTTTATTATTATTATTATTATAATTATTATTCATTGAAGGGTTAGAAATTCAATATAAACCCAAAAGGATAAAATTAGAAAAAAGAGAAAAAAATCATTGTTATATATAACAATCCAATGAACTGTGAAGAAGTTAAATCATACTCCGAAGTGTGTGTAACTATTAGCACAATTAATAGCTGCAAGAACGTAACCAGATAACCAGCCACAAACAGGTAGCTAAGAAAATCAAGGCTCGAGGATCTGAACAAGACAGAAACATCCAGCTTCAAGCCAATGACTGCGAGGAGCTCACTGTTGTAGAAAATCTGAGCCAACAAGACACTGAGATTATACAAACAAAGAATTTAACACTAATGGCAAGTTCAAAGAAATCTTAATATCTTACAGGATGAATCAGTTAACTATTAATCAGAATGCAATATCATACCAGCTCGCTCTTCTTGCTCTAGTAAAGCTGGTTTTCCATTGAATCTACACCTCCAAAACACAAGCACCGCATACTTATTGAACAACACACGGGGAGAAAAATGACACAACGGGTAGCGAAAGAAGAACCTATTAAGATGTTTCTTAAATGTTTACATAGTCAACATCAATCTGAGGGACATGAGCAATCTTGGGCCAATCTTCTCCTGTTTCCCTTCGGCACCTGTCGCCCAGACTTGGACACTTCCTGATCACAAGCTTTTGAAGTTTCTTCAGATTGCCGGTGCACTCTGGCAATTCTATGATGTTTGGACAGTCTCCAATTGCAAATGTTTCTAAGGAGCCTGCAGACCCTTGAAGAAACTGTTTTGGTAATGCTCGCGTTGCTGGTAACGTTATAAAACATAGAGTCTGAAGGTTAAGTGGTTTAATCCCTCCTCTTGCTCTTCCTCTATTGTCATCAGATCAAGCTTTTCACATACCATAATACTCAAACACTCAAGTGCAGTTAGGTATTTCATACTTCGTGGCAAAGAGAACAAGTTTTTACACCCTCCAATGCACAATTTCCGAAGACTTTTAAGACCTTGCATATCTTCACACAAATATTCAAGATTTTCACAGTTAGCAATCAATAAAATTTGAAGACTCCCCAAGCACCCAACTCCTCCTTCTGGCAACCGCTTCTGCTTGGTGATTAGAACTAACAATCTAAGGCTGATCAAGTACCTCACATCTGTTGGCAGCTCTTCGAATCCATCACCTAGAACCAGAGCCTGCAAATTTTGTAACTTGAAAATAGATTTTGGGAATCTTTTCAGCTTTGTATTCTCAACCAAATTCAGATATCTCAACTCTTTCAGGGAGCCAATCTTATCCGGCAGAAATTCACAGACATCCATTAGTTCCAGAGACCGCAAATGCTTAAATCCTGACAAATATTTCTCGAAGTCTGTTCTGCAACTAGGTTCCTCTAGACTAGTTACAAAAACAAGCGTTCTCACGCGTCCATTTGTGTCCACACACATAACAGGTTCCTCTAGACTGGTTACAAAAATAAGCGTTCTCACACGCTCTATCTCATTTGGGAACTTAGGAAGAGCTTGGAAAAAAGAGTTGGAGTCAACAACTGATAAATGTCTGGCAGTTTTGAAAACTTGGTGGTTATTTGAGCGTAGGATTGAACATTCATTTTGAGCCAATGATGATGCAAGATCATGCACTAAATCATGCATTTTAAAGCTAAGTACAAAAAGCAAATCGTTAACATCTTGGAAGAAACATTTTGAGATCAACTCACGCACATAGCGAATCCCAACATCTTCCAAGTTTTCACTTGGATGTGATGATTGATGAACCAGTCCCTGTGCCATCCAAAACTGCACCAATACGGCATCCGTGAAGTCATAATCTTTTGGAAAGATCGAGCAATAAAGAAAGCATCTTTTCAAGTGATTTGAGAGTCGTTGATAGCTTATTTTTAAAGCAGGTAAAATACCATCTTCCTTCTCTTCCCAGGTCTCACTATCTCTTACCAATTTCCACTACTTTCATCAGTTATACCATAAAGTTGAGTTCCCAAGTTGGTTACTGCCAGAGGAATTTGCTTGCATTTGCCCACTATTTCTTTCCCAATTTCTATCAAATTTGGATGCTGCTCCTTCTGCCTTTCCTTAAATGCACACTTGTAAAACAAAGACAGACAATCCTTTTGATCAAGAAGACTTAACTCATGCGCGCCAGCAGAACCCATAATCTGTGCAACACGTTTACTTCTGGTGGTTACTATGATCTTACTTCCAAGTGCACCTTTTGATAATATAGGCTTCAGCAAGAGCCACTTCTGGGAGTCTTCGTTCCAAACATCATCTTAAATAAGCAGGTATTTCTTACCATGCAAAATCGCTTCTAGTTTTGCTTTTATTTCGATCTCTTCCAAGTCGTTAAATCTTTCCCCAGTTGCAGATTTGATCATCTTTTGCATCACTTGTTTGAGAGCAAATCCATCTGAAACACATGCCTGCATCTTTAGCTCAAAAAAGGCATCCACACTTCCATCATCATACACCGATTTGGCAAGAGCAGTCTTCCCCAAACCACCCATTCCAACTACTGGAATAACAAAGGGATGAGCGTCATCAACCTTGAAAGGTTCTACTAAGAGGTTGATGATGCATTCCCTGTCTTTGTCTCTTCCAATAAGACCGGAAAAGCTCTCAAAGGATTGTTTCATCTCTGATATTTCCTCAGGCAAGACTGAACTATGATCACTAGTCTGCTCGGGAAGGCCAAGCAGAGACTTCAGAGATTCAATCTCGGCTAGCCTGTCGTTGAGGTCCTTTATTTTACGACCCATTTTAAAACGGAAAGCTAGCTTGTTAGAACTTGAAAAGAAGCGGCGTAGCTTCCTGCTAGTGCTCCCTGTTGTTGTCACCACTTGCCTTCTCAAATCTTCGCACTCAAATCCATCCAGTGCGTCCTCTGCATCATACATGAATTCTTGGAGCTTCTGAAGCCAGAACCGAATCTTCTCGTTCTGAGACTGTCTCTTCTCGGCATCCATTAAAACTGCATTGATGGCTAACAATTTCTCTTCAAGACTTGCAATTTCAGCTTTAAGTCCCCATGCCAGATAAAGTTCTTTAATTGCAGAAGAGCCTAACTTCCCTAAAAGGGATTTTGCAATGTCGGTTGCAAATTCTTCCATTTTCTTTTTGAGTGGAGAGGAGAAGTGATTGATAGGAAGAATGATCGAGAAGGGAGTGAAGTTATTTTCAAAGAGGCATACCTCTTCATCTCTAGCTAAACGATTGCTTAAATTATTTAACTTCAATGTCAAGGCAACACAATGCTTGTATTTTCTTTATTTTGCTGACATTGCCCTATGAATATTCTTTTCTTCGGTTGTAATTAACTTATCGTACTTTTGCCACATTTTTTTCCCAAGAATCTGACCCTTGGTGCTTTTCTTGAATTGTCAATTTTGATAGTGATGATATACTGTTAATTAATTTTAGGTTAAAAAATTACCAACAGGACACAGTTAATTAACATCATGTGATTCTCTTTTCTCATTGCCTAGACCTTGACTCCAGTCTCCTTCATTTTAACGACCAAAACCCTAAAATCAACAAATATTGGAAGATCAAACCTTGAATTTGCAGAAGCAGCAGCAGCCAATACCACCAATATTTAAGCATGATTTTGATGATCAACAATTTCTTCCATATATTTCTTGAATTCAGTCAACTTTAATTGCACCCCAAGCCAATAAAATATCCATTTTGATGATCATTATGAGATTTTATTCAAGGCTCTAGGCTTGTTTCATCATGTGTGCCTGAAAGATCTTAAGATGATTTACCTTACTGTGATTTTACAGAGAAAGGAAGCTAGCAGATTCCTTGGCAGCGCATGCAAGTTGCCTCAAGCTGAAGTTGCAGTCATAAAGTAAAGCATCATTTCTTGAGATTTATTGCTTCCAGCTTTTTTACGATTTTGGATTTAGCATCAAGAAACTATTTTTATGACATTTGAAACTCTTGGATACAGTAGTACAGATGCTCCAGGATTGCATTTATCCTTCGAGGAGAGAGTCCATTTTCCTAGCACGTTATTACCGTATAAACGGGATCCATACCACTAGCATACCATGGCAAATTACGTTCACGGGAGAGTTGAAAAGAAAAGGAAGAAAAAAACAAGAAGAAAAGAGATTTCTGCTTCAAGTCAGAGAAAGGCATGGAAACCTCATAACCACATAGGAATGCGCCACCACAAGCATACAGAAGTTTACAGAGATGCATCTGAACAATAATAATGCACATAATCACTTCTAAACTTTCCCACTTCATGGGGGCTCCATTTGATAAACGGCTTAATGAGATTTTACAAGAGCATGCTTCAACCCTATCAAAGCATCTTAAGCCTCTAAGAAAGTGTGAGGGCTGGACCATTGTACAACAGTAACCTTCAATCCTATCAACAAAACTAGGCCTCTATGAAAGTTCGAAGGCTGATATAAATTTCAGAACTCTTGCTTGCACTCGCTCCTTCTCTTCAGGGCCATCGAGGTCACCAATGTTATCATGATATTCCTATATATGATTCATAAAAGGAAGCATCACACAAAAGGTACTTGCTACGTTATGGCATTTGCCAGTTCAATGAAGTTTTTATGTAGTGCAATTTGATGGAAAATTACAATTTGTAATTTGAGGCTACCATTTCTACATATTTCATTCTTTTATATCCCATGTGATTATTTATGACTATTTTGGTATTCCATATATGGATTCTACACCCATACCCTTTTATAATGTGAAAATATGTTCTTAATAGTCTGAACTGTTAATTTCTTTTCAGACAGTGCTACAAGTTCACTTCACAGATAACAATGAACATGTTTTATAAGAATGGACATCACCAATAACACAGGTCACTGGACAGAATCTAGATGCAGCTACAAAGCACATACCAGAAGTATATCCTTAACATCGCTCTTAGTAAGCTTTTGCTGCTTCAATAATAGCTCAATCCTTGCCCTCATTCGAGGGTGCCTGAAGATAAACCCACAAATCATCTTAAGAATTCAAAATTAAGGAAAGATATAATCTACAAATAAAGCTCCTCTAATGAGCTGATAAAATTATGGTTGATGGGAAACTTACTCGGAGCACCAAAGATGGCCCAGAATAATGGCTATCGACTGCAGGTTAAAACAAAAAACAGAGCTGAGATATTGAAAGCACAAAACTATTGAAAATCAGAGACAGAAACATGTTGAAACTCAGATAAATGGTTTTTTCAATCAGGAACTTATCCAGATAACTTTTGTATCAGAAACTTTTCCAGATTATTTTAAATGACCAATATCTGTGCTTGATATTAACTTTCCATAGCAATGCTAATTAAAAAGACCTCAAACTAAAAATTACATACTGATTGAATTACAGTAGCAAGATCTAAATTACAGCCGTCAATCAATGATAACTTCCTACCACCAACTACATGATATATCCCACAAGTTGTGCATGTCCATCAATAAAGTAAACAATTTCATAGACAATTCTGACCAAAAGCCACTAGAATAGAAATTAACCTGAAGGGTGTACAGTCCAGATTCTAGTTTTCGATTATATCTTTCATCTCCATCCATCTGTATAACACACAACCCATTGTAAACAAAGTGGTTTCAATGTCAAATATGGACAAGACAACAAAAAAGCAAATGTGATGTACCTCAAGATCATCCAATTCAAGCTCATCCATTCGTTTAGTCTCTTCTTTCACTCTATCTGAATATCTGAGTAAAGATCATCATTAATCAGGTGTTAAGGTCTGAATATAGACATTAGAAACAGAATTCACAGCAACACCCCTGCCTCCTCTGCAGCAGCAAGAGGGTAGAGAGGAACAAGGGTGGAGGAATAGGGCAACTGTTCAAAATCCATAGGTAGAAATTCAAAAAAATATATATATATTACCTTATATAGAGTTCCATAAGGCGGTCTATCTTCTCACACTCATTTTCCACAAATTTACTTAGCAGTCTCTCCCTTCTTGAACCTCTCAAAATTCCACCTGGAAAAGAAAGAAACACCAGGAAAGTAGATTACATCTGTGGTTTTCTTGGGGGGTGGGGGTACCATAATATCCAGCAACTGAAAATTCTTTGTATAATTCATTTTTTTCATGTTAATTTAGTTGTGTACAATTTAACTCCAGTCTTCAGGTAATATGAAATCCAGTATGATGAAAACAAGGTTTGCATAAATATATTACAAATAGAAGAGTACCATATATGACTCCAATTTGGGTCTACCAATCTCTACCACCATCATATAATTGGCCCACAACACCATGGGATAACAGATCTGATGGTAGACAGATATCTGGATATCCATTTGATTCACTGGTTTCAGGCCGGATATGCTTTTACCAAGTGAAACTCAATCCTCCAATAAGTGAACTTTTAGAACTATTTTTGGACATTAATTTACTTTGCATCAGGTGACAATGCCACAACTCCTCATTCGTGACCATGTATGAAAGCCAACAGATTAATAGATAGAATCTTGTATATTATAAGATTATAATGTTGTATTGAATCAATCAACTAAGAAAAAATGCCAAAATCTCAATTCCCATTTCTTTTTTCTTTTAAGTTTGCTAACCAAACACCAGGAAGAGCGAAGGGGCATCATTTGCATCCACTCCAATTACTGTTATAGGTTACCAAATGGTCCTTGAAGCTTTAAGTATTGACTAATGGCAACCATGAACAGAATGTTTAAAACGGTTTCACTACTTACCAAATAATGATGCAATTAGGGAAATAACACGCTCTTCTAACTCCTCTTGATATCGTTCTTTCTTATTCTTCTTGCTCATGGGAATCTGAAGAATTGAAGGTAACACAAAAAAAAAAACATGTTAGTCCAATTACCTTCTAAGGAGACAAATTAATGGCATGATCAAATCACAATTCACTGCACCTCTGTTGCATTTTGCAATGAAAGATGTGCTTACACTTTATGTCAACAAAAGATGAATGTTTATACGAAGAGAAGAAGAGCACAAATACATAAGGAGAACCAAGACATCTTCCAAAAAGTTAAGGGATTAAAAAGAAAGAAAATCAGAAAACTTGTGCATTCTAGCCCATCCAATTGTGGCTAATGACAGTTCCAAGAAGCTGAAATCCACAAAGAGACCAAGACAGCCAAGTGTAGGGCATTTTTTGCCCCAATGAATATTGATTGACAGGTCACCTTTAAAGTACTAGAAGCTGAGACAACTAGCTAGTGATTGTCCTGAAAGGGATCATTAAAAGTTCTTGAACACAGTACCCTGTGCAGCTGCAGCATCTTATAATGTTTCATGCTCCAGAACCTATCAAGAACATCAAGAAGAACGCCTCCAATAAACTAGAGACCCCCCTTGATTAACGACAAATCTCAAACAACATTTTCTGCATATCTTAAAACAATAAAAAAATGCAGGAAAATAATGTTACAAGTCTCCCAACTACTGTGACACGTGACATAAACACCCACGCTCCATTCTTATCCCTACATGGTTGATAAAAAATAAAAATGAAGGTGAAACTATAGAAAGTGAGAATAACCAGTGACGGAGGAAAATCCTATGTTTATCTATCACAATAATAGACAATGCCATGCATGCACACATGTCTGGGGAGAAGGAAGCAGGCTATCTATGCAGGGATGATTTCTTGAAGAGATAAATAATCTCCATGTATGTTTTTATCAACTGCCAAGGTTTCAGTTTGAAGCTCAGAAAGCAACAGAAACTGAAACACAACAGAAAAACTTTAATCATGAAACACAGCAGACAAGTGCTTTCATATCTATTATCTACTTCAACACTAACACAACCAACCACACAAAAAAATTAATAAAATTTAACAAGACTCAAACAATAAAATGTTGCAGAATCCCAAACTTTAACTAGAGTTCCAAACTTTTTAATATCTTTTCATCAAACAAAAGGGACCTAAATTATCACACAAATTGTTCCAACTCTACGATATTTACACCACCTCAGTTACATTGTGTCATATAAATCTCATATCCTTCATTAACTAAATTCAATATCCACATTCAAGCATTACCATTAGCATAAAAAGTACAGCACACCAATGAATGCAACTAAACCAATAGGAAACACAAAATCAGGGAAAAG